GCATCTAATAAAATCCAATCCTACAACTAACACTTCATAATAAAAGACAAAATGCTTTCCCCTTAAGATCATGAGTAAGGTAATGATGACCGCTCTCACCATTTCAATTCAACATTATACTAGAAGTCCTAGGCAGTGTAATGCAAGGAATAAAAGGCATCTAGATTGGAAAAAAGTAAAACTGTCTTTGTTCTCAAACAATATGATTGTCAATACAGAAAATCCTAAAGGAATCTACAAAAAGATCTACTAGAAAAAGTAATTTTAACAAGGTCAATATATAAAAATCAATAATATTTCTCTACATCAACAATGACTAATAATCAGAAAATTTAAATTTAAAAGAAAATTTACAGAATCACTAAAAATCTGAATATTTAGGGATAAATTTAACAAAATTTATCATACAACACCTACACACTGAAATATATAGAAGATTCTTGTGAGAAATTAAAGACAATCTAAAAAATGCAGAGCTATAACATGCATATAGAAGACCCAAAAGCAATTAAATTGTCAAGTATTCCCAAAATAATCTATACATTCAAATTAATCCCAGTCAATTAGCTTTTATTGGTGAGGAGGCATAGAAAGTATTAAACTAAAAATACTAAATTGCATATGAAAATACAAAGGACCAGAATAGTCAAAACAATTTTGAAAAAGATGAACAAAGTTGGAAGACTAACACTATGTGATCTCAAGACTTACTATAAAGCTAAAGTTATCAAGGTTGTAGTGTGCTTGGCATAAAGAAAGACATACAGATCAATGGAGAATAAGAGTGAGCCCAGAAATAGACTCATACATATGTATGGTCAATTGATTTTTTAATACATTTTATTTTTTAGAGCAGTTTTAGGTTCCTAGCAAACCCGTATAGAAGCAGACAGTTCCCACACAGCCCATGTCCCCACACATGTACAGCTTCCTTCATCAGCATCCCCCACCTGACTGGTACATTTGTTACAATTGATAAACCTACACTGATACGTCATTATCACGCCAAATCCATAGTTTACTTTAGCGTTCACTTCTGCTGTTGTACATTCTATGAGTTTGGACAAATGCATAATGACATGTATCTACCATTAGAGTAGTTTCACTGACCTAAAAATCCTCCGTGCCGTGCCTATACATCCCTCCATCACCCCTAATCCCTGCCAACCACTAATCTTTTTACTGTCTCCATAGTTTTGCCTTTTCCAGGATATCACATAGCTGTGTAGTCTTTTCAGACTGGCTTCTTTCACTTAGTAATATGCATTTAAGATTCCTCTGTGTCTTTTCATGGCTTGATTGCTAATTTCCTTTTAGTGCTGAATAATATTCCATTGTCCAGATGTATCACAGTTTGTTTATTCATTTATCTACTGAAAGACATGTTGGTTGCTTCCAAGTTTTGGTAATTGAGAATAAAGATGCTCTAAATATCTGTGTGCATGTTTTTGTATGAACATAAGTAAGGGACTGGGTAAATACTAAGGAGCAAGATTGTTGAACTGTATGGTAAGAGTATGTTTAGTTTTGTAAGAAGCTGACGAACTGTCATGCAAAGTGGCTGTACCATTTTGTGTTCCCACCAGCCAACAATGAGAGTTCCTGATGCTCCATATCCTCATCAGCATTTGCTATCGTCATTGTTTTGGATTTTTCCATTCTAATAGGCATGTAATGGTTGGTCAATTGATTTTTGACAAAAAGTGCCAAAGCAATTCAGTGGAGAAGAGATAATCTTCTCAACAAGAGGTGCTAGAATAATTTGATATCCATAAGCAAAAACAAAAAATCTTGTACCATATATAAAAATTCAAACACTAAACAATAAAGGAAGCTACAACTATAATACTCTTGAAGCAAAATACAGGAGTAAATCTTAGCAGCCTTAGATTGTTCGTAGGACATAAAAAATGGTTTTATGAATCATAAAAGGAAAAATTGATCAATTAGAATCTTCAAAATTGAAATTTATTGTGCTCTTCAAAAGACACTGTTATGAAATTGAAAAAGCAAGTAACAGATTAGGAGAAAATATTTGCATAACACATATCTTATAAACAACTTGTTTCCAAAATACCTAAAGAAGGCTTTCAACTCAGCAAGACAAACAATTCAATTTAAAAAAACAAATGATTCAAATATAAACTTTATCAAAGAAGATATACATATAGCAAATAAGCATACGAAAATATGCTCATTCTTATTAGTGATCAGGGAAATGTAAACTAAAATCATGAGATACCACTACATATACTCTAGAATGGTTAAAATTAAAAACTTAAAATACTAGGCCGGGGCTGGTGGCTCACACCTGTAATCTTAGTACTCTGGGAGGCCAAGGTGGAAGGATCACTTGAAGTCAGGAGTTCAAGATCAGCCCGAGCAAAAACGAGACCCCGTCTCTACTAAAAACAGAAAAAATTAGCCAGGTGTGGTGGCATACGCCTGTAGTCCCAGCTACTCAGGAAGCTGAGGCAGGAGGATAGCTTGAGCCCAAGAGTTTGAGGTTGCTGTGTGCTGGGCTGATGCTTTGGCACTCTAGCCCAGACAACAGAGCGAGACTCTGTCTCAAAAAAAAACCCCAAAAAACAAACAAACAAAAAACTTACAATACCAAGTCCAGGGTGAATGTGGAACAACTGAAATTATCATATATTGCTAGCAGTGATGCAACCACTTTGGAAAAGTTTGACAGTTTCTTAAGAAATTAAGCATATACTTACCATATGAACCAGCATTTCAACTCCTAGGTATTTATCCAGAGAAATGAAGACATATCACCCAAAGACTTGTATGTCAATGTTCATAGCAGCTTTATTCATAATGGCCAAATATCAGAAACAATTCAAATGTTTACCAACTGGTCAATGGACAAATTATGGTATATACTTATAATAGAACACTCCAAAATAAAAAGAAACAAACTACAAATATTGCAATAACATGGATAAATCTCAAAAGCATTATTCTTAAAGAAGCCAGACACAAACAACTACAGATTGTAGGATTTCATTTATATTAAATTCTAGAAAACTCAAAACCATAGTGATAGAAAGCAGACCCATCTTTGCCAGGGAATGGAAGGAGCCAAGGGAGACTTATTGCAAAGAGACATGAGGAAATTTGGGGGGTTCCTGGAAATGTTCTATATAAGATTGTGGCAGTGGTTACATAACTACATACATGTGTTAAAACTCATCCAATTTATACTTACAATTGGTG